GGCCCGCGAGTGTGAGCTGCGGGCTAGCCCAGAGGGGAAAAGGGTTGTGCAGTCCGGTTGGGGGGTGGAACGGGTGGAGAAGAAAGGACCCAGATGCGTCCAGGTCCCTGTGTCAGGCGGGCCTGCCCTGTTGGGCTTGGGCTCTACCCAAAAGGGTTGCAAGCCTGCGGGCTGAGTCGCGGGCCAGTCCAGGTAAGGCTGGCTAAGTCGACCCGTTGGGTCGACTCGGCCTAATGAGTAAGGAGTATGGGTCAACTCAACTGAGTCGACCCAAGTTGGAAATCGAGGATAAGCTATTCCGAGGGGATAAGAAATCAGGGATAAGGCTGATTGGGGATAGTAGGGGATAGTATAATTTGGGATTTGGGGATTAGGGTTCTACGAGTTGATTGAATCGGCCAAAACGGTCCAAGGTTTGACCGACTGGTTCAGTGGTCAAATGGACTCGGATTTGGGAATTGAACCGATTCTAGATTCAGCAAGAAAATACCTATCAAACCAAGTGAGTTCGAAAAATTTTGGGTGCCCGGTTTGAGGTGAACCGGCCGGTTTAGTGTGATTCCTTCCAGGTGACCGGTTCACCAATTTTTAGGCTAGTTTTTGGGAGATTGAACCGTTTCTGGTTTAACATGATAAAACCTAGTGGACTATGAAATTTGGTGATGTTTGGATGTTGGGTTCAAGGCGAACCAGTCTCGGTTTGCATGTTGATGTTCTGGATTAGGATTTTTGCCTAGTTCAGCCTAACTTTAGAGATTTTTGGCTATGTTAATATGATTCCTAATGTTTTTGGGCCTTCTAAATCCATTTTTTAGGGTTTTGTGGCCAATCGAGTTGAGTTTGAGGTAGTTTTGGGATCGGGTTAGGCTAGTTTTGGGGGTTTCAAAGATCGGCTCACTATGGGTGGGGGTGGTGGAGGCTGGACCTTTACTGTTAAAAGTTGTTGAGCCAAAGTGTGAGTGTTAGTGAGCCATGCGGGATCTGGTAGTGAGTAGTGGTGTCTTGGGATGCATGTCAAGTGTGGGGATGGGATTTAAGTCTTGTCGAGCCGTTTGGGTATTGACAATGGGGTTGTTGACGGTTTTATGTGGCTTGATTTCAGATTCACCTGTGGAGGAGCACCGTGACTGTAGAGTTGGTTGAGGTGACCTGAGGCTCTTGTTAGGCTCGGCCTACACTGTGAGTGATGATACCCTCTCTATACATGTATTTTCATACTTGTCTTCTAACATGTTGTCTGCATGCATTTGCGAAACTGTGCTCGATATATGAATCTGGGAATGCGTGTTATGTGTTTTGTGAACTATTAGTAGATTATGTTAGTATATACCATTGATTTTGGGATAGGTGGATTTTGTGGGTGTATGTGTACTTGGTTTGACTTGCATGTGAGGATGGTATTATGTGATGTGATGTGAGGACGCCAAGAACTCGGCTAGAGTACGAATCCGTAAGGTCCAGTGGTGAGCAGCCTGGGTCGAGCGAGTTACTAGCGATGCCAAGAACTCGGCTGGTGTACGGCAATCCGTAACGTCCAATGGTGAGTGGCTTGGGTCGGGCGAGTTACTAGCGATGCCAAGAACTCAGCTGGAGTACGGCAGTCCGTAGGGTCTAATGGTGAACGGCCTAGGTCGGGTGAGGTAACTACGATACTAGGAACTCAGCTGGAGTACGGTGACCCGTAACGTCTAGTGGTGAGTAGGCCTGGGTCCCGTGTTGTGATATGAATTGATGTGTTGCGATGTGATGTGAAGTGATGTGATGCTTGGTTAGCGGTATCTTTTAAAGTATAGTTGATGTGTTATTGATTGTTGTATATGTACGTATGGTTTTGATTTGCGGCATAATGCATGTTCTAACATGCATAGAGTAGGTATCATCTGTACTCACTGAGTTTTGTGACTCACTTTTTATAAACTTTTCAGATATAGGTTGCGGCTCTCAGGTTGAGTGCCAGGATTGAGACGGTCGTCTGCCACTTCTTTTGATGTACGGGCGAGTTCTTTGTTTACCTATTTTGTACTCTAGAGCTCTCTTTATCACTCGGGCAAGATCCTAGCTTATAAATGACGATTTTGAAATATATATATATATATATAAATGTATTGGTTAGTTTTGGTATATATTTGCGACTATAGGGCTAACTAGGGTCGGGGACCCTAGTGCCGGTCACAGGCCTGGGTTAGGGCCCTAACAAAATATTTGTATATGTATGGTATTTGATTTGAGGTGTGATACAAACTCTAAGGGCTGACTAGGGTTAGGGACCCTAGTGCTGGTCACGGGCCTGGGTTAGGGCCTTGACAAAATATTTGTAAATATATGGTTTTGATTTGAGGTGTGGTACATACTCTAGCATGCATAGTCTAAGTATCATCTATACTCATTAAGTCTCGCGACTTACAGTTTATAATTTTTTAGATTTGACTTGCTATTCTTGTCTCGGTTAGCGCACTAGAGTCAAAGCTTGGAGGTTGCAGCTTTGTTGATGTACGGATATATTTTCTTGTATATTTTCCTTTGTATTTTAGAGTAACTCTCTTGAACTCTCAGACATGTCTTGATATTTATGTATTGGGACAATGTTTCATGATTTATATTTATTGATGAGTTTTTGTTTGTTTGGGTATTTTGAGGCTTATTAGGGTTGTGGACCTTAGTGCTGGTCACAGACCCGGTTCAGGGCATGACAGTTTTGTATTCTCAAATATTTATAAAATAAATTTGAGGTTAAAATGGAGTGTTTATAAAATATTATGAATCTCAAACAAACTTGAGCAATTATATAGTTTTTACTAAGGGATATTATTACATTTAAGCAAACTTGTGATCAAAATGCATTAGTAATCGTAAACACAATAATATGATCAAGAATTACAATAAACAAAAAATAGTCAAGGTTCACAAGCGAGGGTAAAAAAGTCCTCCTCACTACATTTACAAGGTAATGAAATCATAAATACAAGTTTATGAGGCTTGAGACTTGTTACATTCAATTATAAGTGAGATAAAAAGAATATCAGTCTTCTTTAACACTATTCCGAGTTCACCAATTTCATTTTTTTCTTACTCAAATTCAAATTGGTTGGATTGAAAATTAGTCCAAAAATTTCCTAAAATTAGGCTCTTTCTCATCCTGTTCATGATTTGAAATAAAATAACAATATTTCCATTAGGATCCCATCAATACTTATTATAATTTAGACAAAATTATAATCATTTTTATGGTTGACATGGACTCCCCTAAACTCCTCAATCTTTTTTTTTTTTTTTTTTTTTAAAAAAAAAAGCTAGGCTGGGACCCAATAAAATGATATTGACATGGGCCATATCTTGCAAGTATAACTAACTTGTGTTTTAGCCACTAGAAGCAATCTGAGAAACTAGTGGGGCTTTGTCAATAGCAGCTACGAGTAGGAGTGAAAATTACAATTTTTCCTTCTAAATTATTCACTTTGGCGGTGGCACAAATCCAAGTAAAGTTTTCTCAAGCGGCTACAAAGGGTCACAATGGTCGGAAGGAGCATTATTTACCTGGACAACGATGGATGTTGTGGTCACAACGAAATCCAGAATCAAGTCTAGGTTTGAAATGAAAAAGGCTCTCCTCACCCGCCTTTCCAACTCGGTCCCAAAATCAAAACCCAGAAAAGTTGCCTACTTTTCCCCATCATCAGAAGAGACTTCCTAGCTGCTTTTCCCACTCAATCCCCCCTTTTCTCCAACACAAAATCTCTAGATTTGCTTGGGGACCTTCAGGTGCTCCCTCCCCTCTTCCTTTTTTCTCCCTCTCTTTTTCTTATTTCCTAAACTGCCATTCATTCTTATCCACATTTCCACTTTACTACACGTTTGCAAAAGGCAATGCCAAGCTTTCTGCCTTTCTCCTGAAAGAAGATTTCACGACCCTTTTCTTTTTCCTTTCACATGCAGCCAATTGAATAAGATTTACCAATATGCCTTTCTCCAAAAGGAAGATTCAGGTGTTTAGTAATAGGGGCTAAGTTTTAAAGAAAAGTTATAATATTAGGAGCCACTTGTCTTTTTTAAAAATATTACATATAAAAAATTTATAAGATTTTCATACATTTATTCTTTTATTCTTGGACAGATAGTCAGAATTCATCTGGGTTCAAATTCCGTTGAAAGGTCCACTAGAGATAAAAAAAAAAAATTGTTTAAGAAAGAATAAGATCTTTCTTTAGTCCCTTTCAAATGACAATAAAATAAAGAAATAATTAATATATTCAAGTTTTTACGCATTTAAAAATCTGTCAAAATGGAATAATCTTACTTTTTTTTTTATTTATTATTATTTAAATTTAAATTTATTAGTAGAATTTTTACACATAGTTTCCCTCCTGCCAAACACTCCATGCCCATGTGTAAATCTATGTCTACGAAATACAGGCGTATGTATATATTGGATATAACTGTAAAAGGGTGGGTATAATTGGGGAGAAATTTTAAGCAAAATCCAAATCAAGATTCAGCATGTAAATACGAAAAACCAAATTAATTCCACGTGGATTGTAGGTAGTTGAAGCCAAGGCACAGCCAGCTAATTGAATAAGAAATCATGTATATAGAAACAACACCTTATGAGTGGTGAACAGTGGCATGTGCAACATATGCAATCACATGAATGCCAAACCTGTCTGCTATTTTGTAACGTGAGAGAGACACAAATACACACATGTAGCCAAGCACCCCACATGCAATTCCAGACTACCTCTACTACATCTTTCCAACATTGGATTTCATTATTTGTACTAAAACAAGATAAATTATAAGACATGAGTAAAAATGGATACCGTTGTTTTTCTTTTTCTTGTCTTTTCAGTTTTTTCTTCTTCTTTCCCAGATTTAATTTCCTTCTTACCAACCCCATATCTCATCACCGATGATCCCCCTCTCTCACTTGGGCTATGGATTCATCTTCTCCTTGTCTCTATCACTTTTCTCTTCTGGAAAGTCAGAATTACTTTGTTTTGGGCTTTCTAATGCCCTCTCTCCTGCTCCTCCTCTTCCACATCCCCAGAATTCCTCAATCCCCCATTCACTCTAATCCTATCCGCCCTCGTCTTCAATGCTTCGAGCAATTCGGAGAGAGCTTTTCCTTGTCCCTCCTGTTCTTTATCAACACCTCGCTAATATCAGCGGGCGTCATTTTAGCCTCGTCAATCACCTCTGCCAGATCCTTCAACACACTTTCCGCCACGTCCTCCCCCTTCGCACCCTAGATAATTCTTCAAAAGAAATTTGAGAGCCGAAAAGAGCAGTAGTTCATGAATTGTGCATATCCCTCCTCCCACTTCGCAGCAAACGCAATGCTGGATCAAGCTTCTCTATATGGTTGGTCGTGAACACGAATATCCTCTCGCTACCGCAGCAGGACCAGAGTCCATCTGTGAAATTCAAAGACCTGAGAGAGTGATCGAATTGCCTCCATCTTCACCTCTCAATTCCGGTGGCGGCCCCTCGGATAATTCCTTCCCGCATTCAAATTCTTTTTCCTGTTGGTGAGATTGATGGAGCAATCAATGTCTTCGATCACAATTATAGACTTGGAGCTGGTTTTCATCAAGAGTTTCCTAAGCTCGGAATTGTTGTGACCTCTGTCAATTCCAAATCATAGATATCGTAGCCTAGAAAATTGGCCATGGCAGCAATCATGCTGGACTTACCCGTACCCGGTGGACCGTACAAGAGATAGCCACGCTTCCATGCCCTGCCAGTCCTCTGGTAAAATGATTTGCCATTGGCGAAGTCCTTGAGATCTCATGATCTCCTCTTTCTTCACTGGATCCATGGCCAAGGTCTCTCGAATGTGCTTGGGTGCTTAAAAGGCACCGACTCCCAAGGTGACCTCTGGAATCCAGCGACCCACCTCTTGAATTGGTATAGAGAAACCGATCCTGGTTCTTACGCCTGATTTCATTGGCTTTGTCGATGATGTGGTCGAGGTAGGAGTCGAGGATGAGGGACTTGTGCTTTTTATTGATGCGAAGAGTGAAGCCCCTTTTCTCTTCGGGCAATGGGCGCCAGGAGA